TCTAATTGACCACCAGAAAACTGGAAGTGGCGTGTGGTTCAAAGTAGTATAGCACTAGCATGAGCAAAAGCACTCAGGGGCAGAGCCTAGGCCCTGAGTTCAAGCCCCATGACAGACAAAAACAACAAAAAAACCCCACCCTATCTACCTCTCATTTTGGACCAACTCTCATGCTAAGCACTGTGGGGAATACAAAAACATGAATTTTGCCTGAAGTAATCATGTGACTGTGTGTGTGTGTGTTCACCAGTTATTACATTAAAAAAGCTTACCTCCTATCGTCACTCAAAGGCTTTATAATCTAGAAACATAAATGAAGGCTATAAAGAGGTCTCTCTAGAAACATAGTCGTTGATGTTTCATCTAGATCTTAAAGCAGAGGAAGCTGAATCAAATAGACCAAGGTGGAGGCTGCCAAAGGCATTAGAAACTTCAAGAACAAAGATTTGATGTAAAGGGCTCTGCACAGTAAACTTGAGAACTCAGGAGGGCCTTGGGATGACTCAAGATAGAACAAAAGTGCCAAGTTGAAATCACTTGGTTCTACTCCAGGATGGATGAAATTAGCAAGGCAAGCCTATGAGAGCCTCAGGGGGCTTTGAAGTCAGCACGTGCTATGGTGTGTGATAGTATGGTTTCCATTCTCACTGAGTTTTGCACATCTTTTGTCTCATTGGAGGTAAGTTTCATTTCCCCAACCCTTACAGAGTAAAGCCTGCATAGCTCTGAGTCCATAGAGTATGTCTGTCATGTCCAGTACAGAAGATGATGATTCAAGTTGATGAGTAGGACACTGAGATTCTAAAATTTCCAGGAGGCTCCTGATGGCCGTAAGAGCTTTCTCCACCCACTCCAGCTCCCACAGCGGCCTTGCTCACCCTGTGATGCTACATAGTATAAATGGAGGGAAAATTTCCTGTGACTAGGAGCCTCTAGATTTGGGGACTGCATGCAATTGCCCCCAGAGTAACCTGCCACATGGATCCCATGGAGAAGAAACTAGCTAGAGGCCCACCATCGCCCACAGATTCATGGAAGTCACCAGAGCAGGAGCTGTGAGCCTACAGCTGCAGTGAGCCTACAGATATGATGGCAAGAAGTTACATGTGTTCACATGACTGAGATTCTTTTTTCTGGTCAGTCATGGGGCCTGAACTCTGGGCCTGGGCTCTGTCCCTCAGCTCTTCAGCTCAAGACTAGCACTCTACCACTTGAGCCACAATGCCACTTCTGGTTTTCTGGTGGTTTATTGGAGATAAGAGTCTCATGGACTTTCCTGACTGGGCTGGCTTTGAACCGTGATCCTCAAATCTCAGCCTCCTGAGTAGCTAGGATTACAGGTGCGAGCCACCCACACCTGGCATGCCTGAGATGCTTAAGGGATCTAAGAGTCTAATTGTTTCAGAGGTGTTCTTGAAAGAAAAAGACAACTAAAAGGAGATGTGAAACAAAACCAAGCAGAAATATTGAACAACGAGCAATAGGCAACCTGGAGAAGTAGAGCTGATCAAAAATACTAGTCACTAGTCAATAACAGCTCTAGGTAGAGCATGAACTTTGGAAAGAAGCCACTTGTGTGAATCTGAAGATTCATTCAGTTGCTTTCATTCACTCACAACAGTAGAAAGCACAGAACACACTCAATAAAAACCCTCTTGCCCTAATAGGGCTTAAACTGAAATAGAGGAAAGCAGACACACATGTTTAGATACTACCTGTCTGAAAAATGGACATGATGTTACTATCATTTTAAGGGGTTAAAAACTCATATAAGATGTATCAAAAGTAATGACCACTTTATTTTTTTCAAACTCCTTATCTAGTATTAGACTCAACCATAGATATCGCTCTGTGTCCTTTCTATGAAAACAATGGATTCCCCCCTTTTTTTCTCATTGTTTTCTACCTTAAGATCTAAAACACCAATTCTTTTGATCCAAATCTATTTTCTATATCACAAATTATGCTTAATTAACACCACAGGTGAACACAGTAAGACACAGGAAAGTTGAGAGTGTATTTTGGGGAGAGGGTAAAAAATGGGGAGTTATATCTGACCTTCTCAAAGTTTTAGTCATATATGAATTACCCAAATATCTTTGAGACTGTAGGTTGTGAATCAATGGATTGTGCCACTTGAAATTCTGATTTTCCTCTTAAAAAAATCTGTATACCCATCATTGTTATTGTATTTTAGACTCAAGGCCTCATGCTTGCTAGGCAGGAGCTCTAAATCTCGAGCTATTACCTCAGCCCTTTTCACTCTTGTAATGTTTTAAAATAGAGTCCTGCTTTAATTTTCCCTGGGCAGGCTTGGACCGTGATCCCTCTATTCATGCTTAACACGTATCTGGGTTAACAGGTGCATGCCAACACACTCAGCTTTACATGGACTAAGATACAGTCCCATGAACTTTTTAACCTAGACCGGCCTTGAACCAGGACTCTCTAGATCTTAGCCTCCCCAGATTCCAATTTCTACCGAGTTCCTTGTGATGCTAAAGCTGCTGGTCCCGAAGATGCCAAGGCAACGTTCTAGAAGCAGAGGAAGTGAGCATAACTTCAAGGAGCTAATAGCTGTGCTTGGTTTTTACCTCTTTAGTATTGAGCTCAGAGCAGCATCTCTAACCATGTGCCACAGTAGCACATTGTTTTCTCATCTCCATCCATTTTCCCTTTTGCCACTGAAGAATCTGACTTTGGACTATGTGATCACCATGAGAGCTCCATCACCCCCACTCCCACCCCCACCCACACTCAACGAAACATTTCTCAGGCATTATCAGCTACCTCTGGCTTGTTGACGTAGCCTGGTTATCCTGAATTGCAGCAGGGAAGAGTCCAGCACAGAGAGGGTAGGTCACACAGGAAAACATAGACAGGATTCAAATCCCAGCATCTACTCAAGGCACTGTATCTCTTTTGTTCAACTAAATATGTTTATAGATGCTAGATGCCATTTGGGGTTGAAAGGTAAAAGAGCCTGTTGGGTTCTACATACAAAAATACCCTTGAGAAAACTAGAGTCACTGAATACAGTCTACATATATGACATATAGAATTAATACTAACATCCTTAAAAACAAAAACACAAACAGAAATGCCACCACTTGTGCTCTCCATCCCTGCAGCCCTTTTGACTTTAATTTGGTTTAGTAATCCTCATGCTTCTGCCTTGGCTAGCCTCAGACCATGATCCTTCTATCTCTGCCTCTCTCATCTCTCAGTTATAAGTGAAGACACCAAATTAGTGGCATTGTTTCTGCTTTCCTGTGTTTACATCACATTACTTTCCTGCTCAGTCTGCATCAGAGATGACCTGCAGTTGACTGTTGCCTCCTATTCCAAAACTGATCAAGCAACAAATCTGACCTTCCACCCAAACCTCAAGGATTCAAGAAAAGACAACTGAAATAAGTCAACAAAGAAAAGGAGCATTCAACATTAGGACAGAGATTTCTGCTCTTGTTGGATTTGCAAGAATCTACCAATTTGTAAAAAAAAAAAAAAAATATATATATCATAAGCCTCTCAGAACTTGTAGACACAGAGAGTTCATGAACTGGCAATGGATCAGTATAAATAGATCATGGACGGCAGAAATTTCATAAGAATCCTTGCCTACCAGTGAAAAGAAGCTACAATGCACCACACAGCAACATCTACAGTCTAGGCACAAGTTCTTCGGTGTGTCTACATTTTAATAGTTGATACATTTCCCTTTTTATTATTCTAAGAAGAGACCCTAATTCAGTGCAGCAACCCCCAAAGTGCATGGACAATAGTGGATGTTCCCTAGGGAACTTGAAGACACGTGGTCACCTGACTCCTTTACAAAGTCTGATACAATTCACTTGGGATTGGCTAGGTATGTGGATGTACCTTGGTCAGTCACTGAGATTCTTTCCAGTCTCCAATCTTCACTCAGGGTTTTTACCTGCTTACCTAGCTGCATAGATCTAAGCTCCTAGTAGACAGCAAGCAAGTGTTTCTCACCCATCAGTGACCAAATGGAGAGCTCAGCCTTGGTGTTTAATAATGAACCACTGTAGCTGTCAGCAAGAGAGATCTGAACCTGAGGTGGTAGGTGAACTTGAATGAGAAGCAATGACATCTAATTTTTCTCTTATCTCTCCCGGACACACAGCGTTTCCTTCCGTTGTAACACACAGGAGCCCTGGCAGTCTCGACTCAAGTTTGCATCCACTGGTATTTTCTGGCGCTTTGCAGTTTCTTTCACCTGGTATCTCGAAATATCTACTTCCATTCCCTTCCTGTGACTATGGCGCCTGCGTAATAGCTCTGTCATCAGCTCTTGTCTGATGCAAACTGATGATGTGCCACCGTTCCTACCTCCTGATTCCAGAACTGTTCCCTGACCATTACCTTCCGGCAGCAAAATCGATTTAAATGTCACTTGGGTGCATTTAGCGTGGATTCTGGAAGTCATGGAACAATCGCACTCGAACCAGTGTATCTAGGAAAGGGTAGAAGCCAGGGCTCAAAGATGCAGCCCACACAAGCCAGGTGTGGAGTCCTTCCATCCCAGGCTTCCACGGCCTCGGGAGCCCTTTGAGAAGAGGGACACGCCGGACCCCAGCTGGGTCTTGTTTCCCCTCTTCCTCCATTTCCGCAGATAAGGTTCAGCCTGAAAAGCCAGCTGGGCGCGCGCAGCGAGAATAGGATGCGCTTTCTCTTTCCCCTCAAATGCTCTTGGCCTTGGGGAAGGCCTCGACTGCCAGGCTGGTAACTCGAGCCTGCCAACGAATCCACACTCACCGCACCGGGTTCAAGCCCTGTCGGCCGGGCCTGCGAGGCAGCCCAGCTCTCCTCTGGTGACCCCCGCCCCAGCCACCGCTTGCTCGGCCACCCCCACACAGGTGCCACGTTCCCCCAGTGCCGCCCCCCACCCTCCCGGCTGGCCCAGGCAAGGGGGGGGGCTCAGACCCCATCCCCGAGGTCGCCTGCCCGGGGTGGGATGGGGAGGGGACCCGCTTTACCGGTGGGGACCCGCACGGTTCTCGCCTGCGCCCAGCCCGATCCACCGGCTGGTTCTTCACCCCGCTCTGGCGGCCAAGTTCATCCCAGGGCTGCAAGTCGGAGGCTGGGCTGGAGCGGGGCGGGCGGGGGGGGGGGGGGGGGGAGGGAAGCGGCGGCCAGACCAGGACGCAGCGCCCCGGGAGCTGGGAGCGAGTGAGCCCGGCCTGAGTGCCGCCGCCCCGGCACGCCTCCCGCTTAATCTGGGCAGGGCGGCTGGCCACGCCCTCTCTACCCCGAGCCTCCACCTCCCCAGCCGCACACCCTCCCTAAATTCCTCCCCACCCCATCCCTCCCCCCCCCCCGTCCCTCCGAACCCCAGGACCTCCGCCACATCACCTCCTTCACCCTCACGCTGGAGCCTCGCCCACCTGCATGCCCCGCAGGCGCCCAGCCCTTTCTCTCTGCCTGGGCACCATGCCCAGGGCAAGGGACAGCGCCTGGTGAGTCGGGAGGGGGGCAGGGAGGGAGGGGAGAGGGAGGGCGGGATCTGAGCCACTTCTCCCTCCCTGGGAGCAACAACCCCAAGCCTGGGTGAGGTGGGACGGACAGACGGACGGCACCGCGGAATCCTACAAAACCCTGGGTGCCCGGGATCCCCGCCCAGCGCCGCGCAGGGGCGCCGGGGACGCGGACACCCGACGGCCTGAGGTCCCGGGACGGTCACCCACCATGCGCCCCGCGGCGGCGGCGGCGCCCCGGCCGACCGTCGGGCTGGCGCTCCTGCTGCTGCTCCTGGCGGCCCCGCCCGTGGCGAGCAAGGTGAGTGAGGGGCTGGGCGCCCCGTCGACGGCGCTCCATCCCCACCGCCGGCTCGGAGGCGCGCGCCAGCCTTCCCCCGCGGGACGCGTCCTTCCTTCCGCCGCGGCTGCCCGGCCGGCCCGCGGCGCCGCTGCGGACTCCAGGCACGCACGCACGTCCCGGGACGGGCGGCCGGGGAGGGGAGAGGGTGGGAAGCAGCCATCGAGGGTGCCAGGGGAACAGGTGGAAGACAACCCTCTGGAGGAAGAGGAAAGGAGAGGGGGCTTGTCTGGGTCCTCCGAGGGGTGAACGGGAGAAGCAGCTCTCTGGGGTCAGTAAGTAGATAGCAGATGGACAAATGGATGGACAGACTGGTGACAGAAAGAGGTAGGGGGAGAGAGACGGGGAAGACAGACAGACACACAGAGAACTAGACCGATGGCTGATGGATAATCACAAGGGAAATAGAACACAGGATAGTGCATGTCAGGTCGCTGGAGCGCTTCCTTTAGGTTGGCCAGATGCCTAAAGGGCTGGGAGGCAAACGTTTGGAGAGCTTCTCACCTCTGCCCCTGACCCCTAGCTAAGACCTCACCCTAACTCTTAGCCTCCCCCTGGGCTCAGCCACAGTCTTTCCTTCGCAGCTTCCCAGGCACTGTTGGGAAGGCAACATGGCCTCGGGGAACAAATCAAATGACCAGCTACAACTCTTCTCAGGTTAACTGAAGCAAAGTCACTTGGATTTGATTTCTATTTGGAGCTTGGGGTGATCCTGGCTTGGTTTTAATCCACTCCCGATTTCTTATTCTTTCCCATTCAAGTGTTCCCAGAACGGTTGCGCCTTTTCCAGGGGTGGCGGACACCGTTTTACTTTTATCTTCTCCAATGCTTTATTCACACTCAAAAGTCAATTGGGGAGAGGGGAGGAGATGACAAAGTAGAGTAAGTTTCATTTGGGTAGGTGAGGCATGAGCGTTCCACATTTTATGAGTGAGATTGCAATTGGAAATCATCGCAGAATTGCGTGTGCATTACCTTAAAAAGAATTTGTGAACCTACAATCACATATCATCTCAAGTTTTGCCATTAAACTGAAATTTTACATTAAAACATTATGGGCACCAAAGACTTGGCTAAAACTGACTTTGACCATCTCATATCTCTATTATTATTCTGTCTTCTCAGAGGTAGCCAATCCTGCCACTTCCCTGTTTTCCAGATAATTTCTATGGACACACACACACACACACACACACACACACACACACACAGATGGACCCACAAATAACATGGTTTTGTGTTTAACTTGATTTCATACTATATGTATATAATTTTTGCAACTCACAGATCTGTGTGAGTCAATATTTAAGACCTGTCTCACTTTCTTCCTGCTCTCTTGAATAGCTTTGCACACTATGCCAGAGATAATTGGACCAGTCTCCTGTCATTCTGCATTTAAGTTACTTACTGTTTCACATTCTGAAGACTTGTTTTTTGTAATTTATCTAATTTCTTCATGCATTTGTTTCTACCAGAAAGGTACTTTTTATAGATTAGAAATGCCTAGCTCAAATGGCTAAGTACTTCTGGGCATGAAAATTAAAACTCATCTAAATCAGAGTGGATTATCTACCAGATTTAAAAATAAGTAAGCCTCAAAAGCAAGAATTCTGGAACAAGTATATGTTGCAGGTATACCTGGAAAAGAGTTCTTAACTCAGAAGGAAAGAGTGTGAGAATCAGCTATGACCACATACTCAATGACATTGTTATATTTTGCATGTAAATGTCTTCTATCTTCTTGTTTTAGTTAGTATTATAAATAATTATATAATAAACACTAATAATTAGTATCATAAATTATTTCATTCATACCACAATGAAGCCATCTGTTTTTCATTTAATTAAATTTGAAGCAAGTCCTTGTTAAAAGTTTTAAAGGAAGGATCATTTCAGCTGCACCTGATGTACACAGAAAATATGTTATGGAATGGAGGACCCAGTGCAGTGGCTCAAGCCTTTAGTCTTAGCTACCTGAGATTCTAGGTGAGCCCATATTTTTTTAAAGAAGGTTGAGACTCCATGTCAACCAACAGTGAGTGTGGTAGCACTTGTCTGTCACCCCAGTAATATGGAGAAGCAAAATAGGAAGACTGCAGTCCAGACCAGCTAGGATATAAAAATGAGGCCCTACTGAAAACTGACAATCAGATATCATGTGACAACATGGCTTTCTCCACAAACTAACTCCAATGCTGAGCTGCTTGGGTCTCAGTCTCCTCATTTGTGAAATGGGGCCAGCAGGGAAGGATTCAGAAAGACAGTGAAGACATCCAACTGTTGACTCTCTACCATTTAGGCTCCATTGTGCCCTAATTCCTTCAGGATTAGAGCTCTTCAAGGATCTCCTTTTTATTAGAAATTCTAAGTCAAAATTTTACAAAAACTAACAACAACAAGTAAAAATCCCAAGCAAATAGTACCCCCTTCTAAACATAGCGTGAGCCAAACAACGCATGAAAGGTGGATTTAACCTTGGCACCCTCAGGTTGATCATCTCTGTGCTGCATGAGTTAAGGACTTGCATTTTGCTATTAATTTCTGAAATCTTCTCACAGCGCTTCTCAGAATGGGAAGAGAGCAGCTATCCTGAGTCTACACACTCAGTTAGACAGAGTGGAACTGTCCATCCCAACCATTAGTCCTGGAGCAACCAGAGTCAAGACCCCCTGCTTGGCTCAGCATTCTATCCCAGGCCTGGGCACCCAGTACCCCTCCGGTTTTACTACTCTTCCCCACCTAGCTCATCCATTTGAGATGGGAAGCCCTGTATTATAGCTCCAGGAATGGGGAAATAGAGAGCCCTTTCTTTGATCTGTGGATAAGGTGGGATTAGCCAATAAAGAAATCATGGTTTATCCTTCCTCTCTTTGCCTTAAATTTCAGACAGGGAAAAACTGTTAGCCTCAAATATTAGAAGCTTTTTTAGAGGGTTCTTTCTCATTTTCTTTCTTTCTTTCTTTCTTTCTTTCTTTCTTTCTTTCTTTCTTTCTTTCTTTCTTTCTTTCTTTCTTCCTTTCTTTCTTTCTTTCTTTCTTTCTTTCTTTCTTTCTTTCTTTCTTTCTTTCTTCCTTTCTTTCTTTCTTTCCTTCTTCCTTTCCTTTCCTTTCTTTCTTCCTTTCTCTCTTTCTTTTTTGCCAGTCCTGGGGCTTGAACTCAGGGCCTAGCTGCTGTTTCTGAGCTTTTGTACTCAAGACAAGTACTCTACAGCTTGAGCCAGAGATCTACTTCTGGCTTTTTTTTTTTTTTTTTTTGGTAGTTAGTGGAGATAGGAGTCTCATGGAGTTTCCTGCCTAGGTTGGCTTTGAACCACCATCCTCAACTCTCAGCCTTTGAGTAGTTAGGATTACAAGCATGAGCCACCAGTGCCTGGCTTTGATTTAATTTTTAAATTGAAAAACTTCAGTCAGTTATACTACAAAATATATCAAACAAAAATAATAGAACAGATGTCAAATTATCCCTGAGGTTCAGTATATGGTAATATTTGGCTTGTTGGTGCTCAGATTTCTCCATTTAGGAAAAATACAGAAAGTCTTATGTATATTCTGTGTGTGTGTGTTCACATATGCACATGCACATATGTATATAGTCCTATAAAATTAAGTATATTGTCTTGTGATCTTTTACATGTCATGGAGTATTTCATATTATACTTTCTACTAGAACTCATTTTTAATAGCTCAATATATACCTTTGGACTTTATCCACATTGATCTATAGAGATGAGATTTATCTGTAGTAGGAGCTATGTATCAGGCCCAGTTATACAAAGTTTATTTTGTCATCTGTTTATAAAGACCAGGTCTGTCTTCTCATTTCTATTTAAAAAGTCTCAGTGCATATTTTTGTACCATTGTGACCACTAGAAGTTGAAACCATAAATAGTCTGTAGAGAAAACCATGTTTTAAGTTCATTAAGAATTGGTACATTGGTCTCTGTAGGGTTGTGCCAACAGTAAAGCCATGTACCTACTTCCTGAATCCTTGGACTTAGGTGTTGAAAGGTACAAAGTGAGATCTGATTGTGACTAGTGAGTTTGGGAAACTGTTTTTATCTTCCTTGGCCATTTATATTCCCCTTGGCATAAGCTGCATGTGCCACTCTCTACCTATTTATCTACTGTGAAGTTTGCCTTTTTGTTTCTAATTAATTTGATTAATTTAATTAATGAATTCTATTCCTATATTGGATGTCTAACTTGTGTTATTTTGGTGTGTAGCAAATAGTATATTCTAATCTTTGGTTTACCTTTTGGTT